AAAAAAAAAGAAATATTTTATGTAGCTTATTTTTCCCTAGGTTTTTAAATCATTTTTTAGTAAAGTGTCATTTATCTCTTATATAATAGAGATGTAATTTTATAGCATTCTTCAATATAAATTGTCATCTTTTTCTTGGTTTTGCTTTTCTATTATAAAAAATGCCTGATTACCATAAGTTAAATTTACTTTCTTATAGAAGCATCACTCTGAGAATAAGGGCCTGGACAAAGTGATGGAGACTCAAGCCCAGGTGGATGAACTGAAAGGAATCATGGTCAGAAATATAGGTATGTTTCAATGGCATAGTTTCATCATGAGAACAAAAATGATAACAGATTACTTGATTAATTAAGATCAAATTTTCAAGAGAATAAAGTAGTATTTCCTTATGAAAGCTAATTGTTATCTGAGATGTGACAATTACATACCTATGACAATGTCTGCTTGTGTACATGGTTGCTTCCTAGTACTTCCTAGAACTATTCTTTACTCTAAATTAGTTTGTTTATTGAATGAAAACTCAAACACAACTTAGCAGAATTTGTGGCATGTAATGAAAGCAGGTCTTAGAGTGAAATTTATAGCTATGAACTCACACATTAGGAAAACAGAATAGGAACAAATATATACCCTAATGGTGCACCTCAAATGTGTAGAAAAAGAAGAGCAGACCAAATCCAAAGCCCAAAGAAGGGAGGAAATGATTTTTTTTCAATTCATAAATTCATGTTTTTGCTTAGAATTTTCCATAACCATGAAGATTTACATTACTTCACCTTAATCTCTAAATTGTACTTGATATATTTTGTTTCTTTTTTATTTTTAATTTTATTAAGAAACAAATAGTAATGAGACTTTCAAAACAGGTTAGTAAGACAGTTACAATAATTAATATATTGCATCTTGTTGTCTTCGTAGTAGTTCTTCATAAATACTTGATATATTTTGGTAAGAGATCAGTTTACAAGAACAGTGTCACCTTTTGAAAATGTGAACATTGTGCTCATCATAATCTTTCTTAGGTAAGAATATAATTTAATGAGTAGTAGATAGATTGAGACAGCAGTAAGGATTCTACTAGGCAGTAAATAGAAGTACCTCAAATTGGGAACTACTGAGTCACCACCCTCCAGGGATCTTGCAAAACATCTTTTTGGTTTCTTATGACTGTCAGAAACTTTTCAAAGAAAGACCAGAACACGACTAGTCAGGCAGTTGGTTCATGAACCAGTTGGGAGTATGAACCAGTTGCCTCTGCATGAATACTGCAGAGATTGGATCCAGAAAAGTATGCAGTCTCCTAAAGTGTTGAGATCATATCTCTTGAGCAATGATCCAAGCTCTCTTCTAAATTCCTTAGAAAGCCCTAGACAAAAAGCTTTCATGAATATTTTTCTTAGGGGCCCCTCCAAGTTTGCTAGCGCTCTACTTTCTTGCCTTTATACCATTAAAATAAATGTGATTACACTCTCTCCTGTGCCCATGATTTTTTTATCACCATGATATATAAACCTGGCATAAATATAACAACCCAACAATTGAAGTGTTATAAGTGACTCAAAAATACTTTTTTTAAGGATTTTTTCCCTTGGCTCTTTGGTTTATTTTGTTCTTTGAGGATATACTAATATTAATCTCCAAAAAAGTAGAAGAATAATTGAAGTTTCAAATAAGAAAACTCCTCTAATTTTTATTTAGAGTATTAGTAAAACCATAGTGAACTAAAGATTTTATTTATTTATTTATATTTTAATAATTTTATTGAGAAAGGAGTAGCAATGAGATACTTTAAAAACAGGTTAGAAGTACAGTTACAATAATTAATACATTGCATATTGTTGTCTTTCTAGTGCTTATTCCAGGGGGCCTGCCCCTTAGCTCAGCTCTTAAAGTGCCTGCTTCAACAAAGCACTCAGGCTCAGGTTGCTGTGGGTCCATCCCCAGAACTCAAGCCAGCCAAACCTGTCCTGAAGGCATTTGGAGCAAAAAAAAAAATCCTTCTAGTACTTATTCCTAGTACAAGATGCAGACATGATATCTGTCTAAACACTATTAGTTCAAAACCTTCTTCTCATTAAACTAAGAGAAAGTAGCTGTATATTTATGCTATTGTGTATA